CACTTCCGATTTTCTGGTGGTTTGTTGAGATAAGAGTCTCACAGACTTTCCTGCCTGGGCTGGCTTTGAACCGTGATCCTCAGATCTCAGCCTCCTGAGTAGCTAGGATTACAGGCATGAGCCACCACTGCCCGGCTAGATGTAATGTTTTTAGAAAGCAAATTTAGAGGCTGTTTTTCTGCTCTTAGATAACTGCTGGTTTAGAAATGTGTTTGGTATCTGTGTGGTAAAAGTAATTTGACTTCAAGTAAAGAGATATCTGGCCTTTGTCCTGGCTCCTAGGTGGTGATCTCTAAACACAAATTGTCTATATGAACCCAAGTCAGAAAAAAATGTACTTAATCTTTAACTTCCTGGCCAGTACACCAAATATGTTACCGGAAATTTAGGGCATCTAAATAAACCTCAGATTCTTACATCAGGAAAAAGAATTCAGACAAGACACAAACATAGTAAAAGTGGTAGGAAAGTTTATTAGAAAAGAATTATGACAGAATGAACCCTCAGTGAAAGTTGGACAGAGACTCAGGGGAGCTTCTCGTTGGGCAGTGGTCCATGAATATGGTTGCCCATGGATATTTGGATACCAAGTGCCTGGGGAACCTCATAGATTTCTACATCTCCTCTTTTGGCTAGTTCTCATTTGTCTTTTCTCCATAAAAAAATGTAGGAGAAGCTGGGCGCTGGTGGCTCATGCCTGTAATCCTAGCTACTCAGGAGGCTGAGATATGAGGATTGTAGTTCAAAGCCAGCCAAGGCAGGAAAGTCCCTGAGACTCTTATCTCCAGTTAACCACCAGAAAACTGGAGTGGCACTGTGGCTCAAGTGGTAGAACACTAGCCTTGAGCTAAAACGCTCAGGTACAGCGCTTAGGCCCAGAGTTCAAGCCCTACGACTGACCCCCGCCCCCCCCCAAAAAATGTAGGAGAATAATTGTTTTCACTAGCTCTCTTTCTAGCAAATGACTGAATATGAGTGTGGTTGTGGGACTCTCTTGTACTTCTAGTTGTTGTTCGGATGCTTGGCATACTTGGCAAACTAAAGGACTGGGCCGTCACTTCCCAGTGTGGCAAACTAGGTAGAACCACAAAAAGAGATGATTGTGCCTGACCATCACTGCCTGCAGAAACACCTTCCTTTTGTCTCTCCATCTGTTTACTCTTTTTCATACTTCCCCTTTGACTTGATCCTTTATATCTACCACTGACACCCATGAACACATAATAAGACCCTGTTTAGAGAATTAACTATGAAGTGTCTGCATGGGGCCATGGGGGGTTTATTTTTATTTATTTTTTGGGGGGGGTCTGGTCGTGGGCCCTGAACTGTGGGCCTGGGCACTGTCCCTCAGCTCTTCAGCTCAAGGCTAGTGCTCTACCACTTGAGCCACAGCGCCATTCCCAGCTTTTTTCTTTTTTCTTATGTGGTGCTGAGGAATCGAACCCAGGGCCTCATGCATGCAAGGCAAGCGCTCTACTACTGAGCCACCTTCCCAGCCCAAATTGTTTTTTTTTTTAGACATTTATGGTGAGTATTTCCTCATGTAATAAATAACAAATATGAAAATGACCTTTGTGAAAACTGCATCTGTTGAACTGTTCAGTAGAAGCCTCTTATAGGTATTGGATCCCAGAAGTTTTCAATATGTATGCTTTCTGTGCAGAGTTCACTTCCTGTGAGCTCAAATTTTTCCTCGCTGTTTAATGGGAAGGGGAAACAAGTCCCCTCAACATATCCATCTACTCCTTGACCTGCAGGTTGCAGGTGACCTGTACTTGGTGAGATGAGTGATTCGGAAGATGAGGATACTCCACAGCTTTCTTCCCACGCCTTAGCAGCTCTCCAGGAATTTTATGCTGAGCAGAAGCAACACACTGAACCATGTGAGGAAGACAAATACAATATTGGGATAATAGATGAGAACTGGGTAAGTAAATGCAGTCCACATCCATTGGATAGTATTGGAGTGAAGCCTTTTGTGTGCCAAGGCCAGTGCTTGTCTTCATTCTCCCCTGATATTAATCTCTCTGTTACCTGCCTGCCATTCAGGAGCTGAAGGATGTATGGGGAGTGAAGGCGAAACATAGCCCATGGTCACTGAAGTATGTGTGAATGTGGGTCTCTTGGTTTTGATAAGCTGGATGGTGACTAGAAATAGGGCTTTGCAGATAAGGGACTGTCATTATGTCCAACACAAAATCATGCTTTGTTCTTGGACAGCAGTATACCCTATTGGTTTCAAATAGAGTTCAACAATCCTGATAGAAAGAGAAAAATATATCACTTCAGTAGGTAGGGATAGGGGGGTAGGTCACTGCACTTTAACATGTAATGAAAGATTGATGATGAGTTAAGATGCTAATTATTTATAGTGTATATTATATGTGTGTGTGTGTGTGTGTACATATATTTTTTTAAATTTTATTTTTTGCAAGCCTGGGGCTTGAACCCAGAGCCTGGCACTGTCCCTGAGCCTCTTTGTGCTCAAAGATAGCACTCTACCACTTGAGCCACTGCACCACTTCTAGATTTTTCTGAGTTGTTTATTGGAGATAAGAGTCTGAGACTTTTCTGCCTGGGCTGGCTTCAAAACACAGTCCTTAGATCTCAGCCTTCTGAGTAGCTAGAATTACAAGTGTGAGCTCCTGGCACCTGGCTTATATATTTTAATATATATTTAATTTTTAATTTATTTTTTGTCAGTCATCGGGCTTGAATTCAGGGCCTGGGCACTGTCCCTGAGCTCTTTTTGCTCAAGGCTAGCACTCTGCCACTTTGGGCCACAACTCTACTTCCAGTTTTCTAGTGTTTAATTCTCCAATTAAACACTAGAGTCTCACCAACTTCTCTGCTTAGGCTAGTTTTGAAACATGATCCTCAGATCTCAACTACCTAAGTAGCTAGGATGAAGCACCAGCACCCCGCTATAATTATATTTTTGTAGTAAATATAAAAGTAGGAATTGAAAAAGATAAAAATGAGTTTTGGGAAACCCTGGCTATTGGGGGCTGGGTGCCATGGTTTATGCCTATAATCCTTGCTATCAGGAGGCTGAGATCTGAGGATCACAGTTTGAAGCCAGTACAGGGAGAAATTCCATGAGACTCTTAACTCTAATTAACCAATAAAATGCCAGGCGTAAAGGTGGCTCAAGTGGTAGAGTACTAGTCTTGTGTGAAAAAGTTAAGGGACAGTGCTCAGGCCCTGAGTTCAAGCCCTGTTACTGGCACAAAAAGAAAAAGAAAAAGGTTTTTGAGCCAGGCACATGTAGCTTAAGCCTGTAATCCTAGCTGCTCAGGAGGCTGAGATCTGAGAATTGTGGTTCAAAGCCAGTGTGAGCAGAAAAGTCCCCATGAGACACTTTATCTCCAGTTAACCACTCAAAAGCCAAAAGCCACACTGTGGCTCAAGTGGTCTCTAGCACGCTGGCCTAGAGCATAAAGAGGCTCAGGGAAAAAGACTGGGCCCTGAGTTTAAGCCACACAACCAACAACAACAAAAAATGCTTTTTGAAGAACACAGTTGAGAAACAGCTAGGATTTGAGGTTTGTCTATGATAATTTCTCAGTGGCAGGCCTGTTTTGCTCTGTCACTTCCTAAATGGAAGGAAGCTTTTATATACTCATTCTGCTTTTGCTGTCTTTTATATTTTGTGCTCAGTTTGATTCTCAAAAATATACATATTTAGCCAATTTACTCTTTTGAAAACTATGAGCTAATAAGTCTTTTCCTGCTAGTGGCTCATGTCTATAATCCTAGCTACTCAGGAGGCTGAGATCTGAAGTCGTGGTTTGAAGCCACCTGGGCAGGAAAGTCTGTGAGACTCTTTTTTTTTTTTTTGTTGGTCGTGGGGCTTGAACTCTGGGCCTGGGCGCTGTCCCTCAGCTCTTCAGCTCAAGGCGAGCGCTCTACCACTTGAGCTACAGCGCCACTTCTGGTTTTCTGGGGGTTTATTGGAGATAGGAGTCTCACGGTCTCTCCTGCCCAGGCTGGCTTTGAACCGCGATCCTCAGATCTCAGCCTCCTGAGTAGCTAGGATTACAGGCGTGAGCCACCAGCACCCGGCTTGTGAGACTCTTATCTCTAATTAACCACCAAAAGCGAGGAAGAAACCCTAGGTTCTTTTCTATGGTCTCCTAACTTCCTGATCCTCCCAGCCCTTGGTAGTCCCAATCTCCTTTCCCTCTACATAGAATTGCCTATTCTGGATATTTCATATAAATGGGATCCTATAGCTTATGGGGTTTTTGGTTTGTTTTTTTTTTTTTTTTGGTCAGTCATGGGGCTTGAACTCTGTTGGGGGCTGTCCCTCAGCTCTTCAGCTCAAGGCAAGTGCTCTACCACTTGAGCCACAGTGCCATTTCCAGTTTTCTAGTGGTGTATTGGAGATAAGAGTTTCACAGCCTTTCTTTCCTGGACTACCTTTAAACCGTGATCCTCAGCCTCCTGAGTTGCTAGGATTACAAGTGTGAGCCACTGGTGCCCAGCTCTACTTCTGTCTTGTAATAGTGTAGCATATGGATACTTACCATGTTTTGTTTAGTAAAACATCAGTTGGTAGACATTTTGGGTCAGCAGATTCACAGTGGACCAATTTATGTGTGTGTGTGTGTGTGTGTGTGTGTGTGGTAACACATGTGTGTATGTGTGTTTACTCATTTGCTGGTAATGGGACTTGAACTCAGGGCCTTATGTTCTCTCTTGGCTCTTTTGTTCGAGGCTGTGCTCTAAAACTTGAGCCACAACTCCACTTCCTGCTTTTTTGGTGGCAAATTGGAGATTAGAATCTTGTACTTTTCTGCCTAACCTGGTTTCTAATCACCATCTTCAGATCTCAGCCTCTTGAGTAGCTAGATTATAAGTGTGAGCCACCATTGCCCAGCAGATTTTCTTTTTTCTCCTTTTTGTTTTGTGGTGCTGCTGTAATAAAAAGCCAGGGATTCCCTCATGCAAGGCAAGCACTCTACCATTGAGCCGTTGGGCATAATGGATGCAGCTCCTCAGGCCTTTCTCTTCTGGGGACAAAGAGGCCTGTTACATAACGGCCTCTAGATCACAGAGGAAAACCAGTCTGTCTTTGTTTCACACTAAAGTGATCCTTAATTTGTAAATAGGAATATAGCCACAGAAATGGAGGCACAAAGGGGGAACAAATGCAGCAGTTGGACTCACTAGACACTGTTTAAAATGAACTATCCAACTTGTGGCCAGGGACAGGAGGGAAAAACTGGGAGAGAGCTAGGGATGGGGTGACACTGCTCAAAAAGAATTGTACTCATTGCCCAAGCCCAGAGTTCAAGCCCCATGACCAACCAAAAAAAAAATAAAAATAAAAATTGTACTCATTACCTGACAAGAAATTGTAATCCCTCTGTACATCATTTTATAATAACAGTACAACAAAATTAGTATTTAAAAAAAGTATATATCATTAAGGATCCCTAGAATTTTAAAGAAAAGCATCCATTGGCATGAAAGAGGAACAGGATGAAAAACAACAGCCCTGAGGAAAAGCAGTCATTGTAAACACATAAATCAAAGGTACCTGTAGGTCAAGAGGTGGAGGCAAAGGGCTGACTACCTCACTGCGTGGCTGGTGGGTCATCTCCTCTATGTGTACCCTTGTTCACTGGGGCTGACGGTGCCACTGATACTCAGTGTGTCTATTCCTTTCTATGTCAGGCTTGCAGTGATACAAGGTTCTGTCAAAGAAAAATGAATTTGCAACATTAAAAAGTTCAATCTATGCATGCTAGGATAGCATAAATTCAAAGACCAGCGCTTACATGGATTCTAAGATGGTGTCATCCTGTCCCTTTCTTGCAGCAGTTGAGCCAGTTCTGGTACAGCCAGGAAACAGCCTTGCGGCTTGCACAGGAAGCCATTACTGCTGCTGGGGAAGGTGGCAGGTGAGATTCGCATTCCCTTCCTCCTTTCATTTACTCTAAATTAGTTTAAGGAAGCCACATCTCTCACAGTGATGTGAAAGCCCAATCATCATCCAGGTGCTGGTGGCTCACACCTGTAATCCTAGCTACTTAGGCTAAGATCTGAGGACTACCGTTCAAAGCCAGCCCGTGCAGGAAAGTCCATGAGACTCTTATCTCCAATAAACCACTAGAAAACCGGAAGTGGTGCTGTGGCCAAGTGGTAGAGTGATCACCTTGAGCTGAAGAGTGCAAGGACAGCACCCAAGCCCAGAGTTCAAGCCCCACGACCGACAAAAAAAGAAAAAGAAAGAAAGAAAGCCCAATCATCAGGCTTGATGATTGAACCATACCTCCACGACCAGCTTTTTGTTGGTTAAAGAGAAAAGTCAGAGTCTCCTGGACTTTTCTGCTCAGGCTAGCTTTTGAACCTCAATCTGCAGATCTCAGTCTCCTGAGTAGCTAGCATTATACGCATGAACCACTGAACCACTAGCACCTGGCAGATCCTATCTCCTTTAAAAAAATTTTTTTTTCCTGGTTGTGGGGCCTGTCCCTCAGCTCTTCAGCTCAAGGCTAGCACTCTACCACTTGAGCCACAGCGCTACTTCCAGCTTTTTCTGATGATGTGGTGCTGAGGAATGGAACCCAGGGCCTCATGCATGCAAGGCAAGCACTCTACCACTGAGCCACCTTCCCAGCCCCATCTCCTTTTTTAAAAAAAATTAAATTATTTTTTTTCTCGGCACAGGAAGAGATGAACAATAACTGATTACAGGTAACTGAACCCATAGCAAAACCACAGTTAAAGGGGTCTTCTGTGGGTTGTGTTTTTTGGATTTCTTGCCACGAGCCCATGGTATGAGTATTTTCTGCTGTGTGCCCCTAGGTTCTGTATTAATTTTGTTTAAGACAGGATTTAATGTTGTTGGGGCTATGTAAATTTTCTTTACAGTTGAGACTTTTCCCCTTCATTCTTTGAAAATGAACTGTGCCCCATAGGATGATGATGATGATAATAATAATAATCAGAGACCAGGAAAAGAGCCAGTAATGGAGACAGATGTATCAAATGCAGGGTATGGAAGAGGATCCTGGGAAGGAATTACTTCTTAAATAGACCTTTCAACAAATTCTCCTGTTTTTAGCACCCTTCACCTCTGTGTCTTGAGTTTCCTGGGTCTGTGGCATCTTGGGCCTTTGGGAATGCTGTGATGTCAGCCAGGAACAGCTCAGCTCTCCTGCTGCCAATGCCAGATTTAGTTTTCTTTGGTTTAATTACCACCCACCTGCTGACTTTTCAACTTCTTAAGTGTGGTGGCTCTGTTCTCCTGCCCCATTCCCTGCACTATCTTTTGTTGTTTATGCCTAAACAACAAAGTAAAATGAATTTTTACCTTTTTTTTAAATTTTTAACTTTGTCGACTTCCTTGAAGGAAATGTATGTGTGTTCAATGTATCACCTTTAATTGGAAGCCTTAAGTTGTTATTCTTTTTCATTTTCTATTCATTTTCTTTTTTGATGCTGTTCATTAGATTTTTCTTACCGTGTGAAATTCTGTTACTGTAGCAAATAGCTGAGCTAAGTCAACTTCAAAGGAGTAAAGGTATTTTCACTTGGATTTGGGGCTTTCAGTCCCTGGTCAGTTGGCCCTGTTCTTATGGGCTTGTGGCGTATCATAGCAGGAGTGTGTGGCAGAGGAAGGGTCTGGGGTTCTAATGTCTCTTGAGGGCACTCCTCCAAAGACCTAACTTCCTTCCACTAGGCCCCACCTCATAAAGGATCCACCACCTCCCATAAGTGCTACAGGATGGAGACCAAGCCTTTAAACATAGGCCTTTGGGGACATTCGAGATCCAAACTGGGTATGGTGCCAGCACAGGAAAGGCTGAGGCAGGAGGATAAAGAGCTCTATATGGCATGTTCCAGGCTAGCCTGGATAATATAGAATAAGACCTGACTCAAAGGAAAAACAAAGATCTAAATTATAGGAACAGTGTTTCCACAGCCTCTTCCTTCCTTCCTTCCTTCCTTCCTTCCTTCCTTCCTTCCTTCCTTCCTTCCTTCCTTCCTTCCTTCCTTCCTTC